ACCTTGGGTTGAAGTTGGACACAGACAACCGCAGCCAAAAAATTAAAGAGGGGAACTATTTTCCTCTGCTAGAACGAGTGTTCTTTCCACTGCCCCCTGCTCTTCCGCCTTTGGCAGGAGGCTCGAGTGTGGAAATTGTGGGATGTAACAAGAAGTTTTTGTACACGGTAAGGAATGGCTTTAGGCGTGCATCAGTAGCTGGGAGTTGCATTTGACTGAGCACTGCCAGACCTTCGTTCAAATAAATCCTTGCGCTCTTTTAAGTATGCCACCGACCTTGGATTAAAATTTGGTCCAGGTTTTGGTGTTTCTGGAACCAAAACGTCGCGCCGCCTCGCTGTAGCGAGTACGGTCAGAACCCAAAGTCACTGATCTTCAGCTGGTCTAGGCACTGATTGAAGAGTGCTCTCCATTTAGCAGATGAACTGGGGGAACTGGCCTTCTTCCAAGAACGGAGTACCTTCACCACCGGCTCAAAACCCAACACCACGCTCTCAGCGGCACCGTGCCGTTTACCTCTCTTGGTTAAACCCAAATTGATCAGAGCTTGCAGGGCTCCCGGACCACATTCAATGTGCGACGACAAGATTCCCAAGATCTCCCCTGTGCTCAACATGCTATAGAACCCGATCAGCAGCGACACCCTGAACGAGACCCATCCGTGGAAAAGGGCCCAACCACACATCGCGTGGACGATGTGCTCAGGGAGGGGAGGTGCCCTAGACGGGATTTCATTGGTCTGCCACGTGCGCAGGAGCCGCCAGGCTGCCGGCATGTGTGAACGTAACCCAGGTTGAATGTCCTGTACGCCCGCAAGGGTATCGCAGGCCAAGCCTCTGCCGTACCCTTGGCACCAGAGATGCTCTAATGGGTCAAGCTTCGCCTTGTTGGTCGGTAAAGCCAAATTTTCGGTGTGAAGGAACTGGAGGAATTGGTCAACTGCTTTGTCATAACGTTTACGCGTGGATGGCTGTATATACTGTTAACTGCTTCAATGTACCCAGGCGACGACGGATCTTTGCACGTTGCTCTTGCGTCACTCCCTCAAGAACCCTCTTAGGCATTCCTGAAGCGAGTGCGAACACGGGTACCCCACCGACTAGGCTTATCGGCAGGATTGCTATCGGTGTGCACGTACCCCCACAGGCATTGGGAGTTACTGCACAAGAGCAGTGCGCTGATCCGTGCCATCGAGCTCCGGAGCTTCCGGGAGCTAGTCCTGCCCCCAGTCAGGGCGCGCAAACAAACCAAGGAATCGGTGAGGTGCAACATCCTACAGCCATGATGTCCTCGGTGTTCCAACCTCCAACGTAGAGCGTTGAGAATCGCCCTCAACTCCAGCGAGTTAATGTGCTCCCTTCCACGCGCCCACTTCCACCCAGAGACAATGCGCCATTTCCATAGTTTGGACGGGACGGATGCCCGCAGCCGATGAAACTTGACCAACTGAGTAGATGGTGTTGTGAGAAGGATGTCTTCACCCTCTAAACTAATAAGGTTGCTGAGCTTGAACGCCAGTTCGTACTCTCCTGCATCTGCGGGCTCCACTTTGCGCAACGGAAGTCGGATCAGGCGATCCTGTACCAACTCAGACGTCCCTGGGGCACATCGTTCAACAATGGCCTGGGGTGAAAGGGCGAGAGCAGTCCTGACAGGAGCTGATTTACAAGCCAGGCAACCACCGGAACACTCCACAGCGTGAGACGCACATCCGCATAGGACTCCTTCTTCCGATCACCCTTGCTCACACAGTTTGCAGTCTAATGCAACGGGAATCCAAGTAGCACCTCACGCTCAGAAACATTGGGCACTCGGATGTTGCCTCGCTGGTCAACTACAACATGCTTGTCCATGTACTGATACGGAGGGAAGCGGTGCCGATCTGCTTGCCAACGATGAAGTTCATGTTCCTGACACTGAGTGATCCCTGCTGGCTTCCGACCCGGCCAGTCCGAGGGACGTGCCGTAGTGAAGGTCGGGAACGACTGTTCGAGATTGACCTTTGTCCACCCAGCCTCCAGGTAGTCATCAGCACTGTGCGTGGCATCAAGAGTCCAGGAGTGCGGTGTCACTCCCGTGTCCAACCGGGCTCCAACGCCTTCGTGGAGAGGCCATGTAGTCCAATACAAGCGAGGTCGGTTGCACCATGTCAGAGTCCCGGCATCTATGTGGACCGGATCACACCCAAAGTCACTCGACATGATCTCTCTGTCAGTCTGGTCCATAGAGCTCAAGGATTCCATGAGCGCATGTGCAGCTGCCCAGGGGAAGTGCAAACGGAGAAGTTCTCGGATACGCGACACATGCACGTAAAGACATGATCTGGCATCCTTGAGGGCACCACGCCGGTCGGAGTTCAAACCTGAACGCCCCTGACAGGGCGGACCCGCCCCGAGAAGAACGAGGCTGCACTGTGAGAACCGTAGGCACCACTCCTTGACCAGAGCCGCGTCAATCCCCTCTACCGAGTCATAGTGAAGCACTCCCGGGTACTGTGACTCCACCACTCTGCGGGCGTTCGGATTCACCTCGACCGACACGTACCCACACACGGCGACGGCCTGCAGATCAATTGCCACACGTAGTGCGCCAATGCCATCGAAGAGACCCACCAGAAGCACTTGATGCTCGGGCAAGGGCTGTGGAACTTGTCCTCTTAGTAGGCCACATCGGGCAACCATAGTACCCACAGGAGTGAGCCCTGCTGACCTGAAGACGCCCCCTTTCGAAGATGACGCATCACTGCAGGTGACCATGGGGCGCACGTCCAGCCTAAAGTTCATCCTGATCAACGGTAGCAAACCAAGGAACCGCAGGAGCTCCAGTCTGCACTCCGTTGGCAGAGGCCGGTGAGAAGCTCCCGGGGTGTTAAACGATTCAATGAAGCTCCACACCGCATTCAGCGAGCCGAGAACGGGTCTTCGAAACATGCTGAGGTACACTAGGCCTCCGCAGACAACTTGAAGCTGCCTTTGACTGACAACCTTTTGCCCCAACAATTTGAGTGTCAGGCTGAAGTATTTGCACAGCTTGGCTTCTTTGGGGAATGCGAGTCCTAAGACCCCGTCCATATTGTGGCACCTTGTAGTTCGCACCTCGCGGACCGCTCTGCTGCCTTCTTCTCATTATGAGGGACCGACCAAACGAGGTATTCCTGCTGCAAAGCCTGGACCTGCTCCGCCACGGTGCCCTCCTGCTCAATCATGCCAGTAGCCGAAACTTTCTCCAAAAGGTCATAGTTGTCAAGGTACACCCGCCATGACGACCCCGCGGCTGTGAAAGGCCGGCCTTTACGAAGCTCCGTCGACTCCAGAGCTGAACGTTCTTCAAGTCCGTACGACCATTTCACAAGATTCCGGCGCACGTTCTGTGCTAGGCTGACCGAGTTGAGGAACGCCATGGGCAGGACTCTCGAGGCGAGGTACATCACCCTACCCTGCTGACGGGGGGCCAAGCAGGACTGTGGAACAGGCTTGTTGAACGCTAAGTACTTAACCCAGCACTCTGGCACCCGCATAGTGTAAAAGAAACACTTCACATCCTCTGAGGACACCAGGAGGTTCTCGCCAGGCTCGAGAAAGGATGGTCTGGTCTCGTCGCTTCCTCCTCCTTTTGCCTTCTTTCTCACCTTCTGGCGACGGCTTAGGTGACTCCCTGGCCTCCTCTGCCTTCTCGCCCTCTTCGTCTTTCTCGACGACCTCCGCTAGGGGGCCACGCTGCTCCTCGTGCTCCGGCTTGGTCTCGACAGGGTGGATCTCAGGAGCCTCAGCTGCTCCCGCAACGCTCAACCCAGCAGGGGGCTTTCTCGGTCTCCTGAGTCTCCACACCAGATGTCTCCCGCTCCTTCAGGAGAATAGGACCTGCCTCCTCCGCTATAGATCAACCAGTGCGCCCGCGGCACCGCGAAGTGCTTGCACAACAGCTAATTCTTGGCTTCGAAGGAGTAGTCCACCACAGAGGATTTCCCTAATCCTCCGCAACGCTCGACAAGAAGCGCAAAGTGGTCCGCTGAAGAAACCGCACGAGGAGCAGCTCATCCACAATGCTTGAACCACACACTGCAGAAAAACAGGAAAGGTGAACAAACATCTTAACCGCCGGGGACGAAAGATATATATATATTGGCCTTCCAACACAACTGGAAAACATTAACACATTATAGTCATATAAATTTTTTGGATCCCATCTATCGGTCTATCTTATGAGCAGCAACAGTGCATGATGATGGTTATGTTGCAGGCCTTGTTCCAATTCAATGTGTGATACATTGTCTACTGACTGACACAGGATGTTACAGGTAATAGGACAAACCAAATGTATTCTATATTTATACTGTTTATAAACATTTCAATAAATATGTGAAACATTATACTATAATTTTGGGGCCCATTGTGTTCCAATGATGAGCTTCGCGGCCCGTTCTGTGAAGAACCAGCGAACCCCATCAACCTGGCAGGCCAACGTTCGAACGATCTTGCGGACCTTGAAGGTGTCCAGAAACCACCTGTGGTCAACTGATTTGCAAGAAGGTCAACCTATAGGTCCTATAACATCCCAGGGTTTCAATTGGTTCACTTCATCCAAAGATTTGAAACGACTAACATTTGGGATTGCACAGAGTTTTCTGATTCTGGCCCCTTAACTTCCTCCCTTTGACACATGTTTGGTGATGCCAAGAGGCATAGGAGGTCGTCTGAATATCACCTCCACCTGGACGGGGGGAAGGAATTTTGATGCAAAACCGTCGAACTTTCCCTCACTTTAAGGCCCATTAGGGCCCTTTGGTACTATTTTTTCGTCTTTCTAGGTCGGGCAATTCGATTCGTGAATTGTATGTTTCATCTACAGTATATATATAATATCATATCGGATCATAGTCGGAGGTGGGAACCCCGTGAAAGAAAAACAAATGTTACTTCTGTCTGATTGTTAGGCATTGCCAGGTGAAGGTCCTTGTCCTTCCGCCGTCCACGCTTGGTTGGTGATTTTTCTGACAAAGTCAAGGAAAATCTGTCAAAGGGATCTGCTGCATCCAGGTGGCAATGGAAGGGCTTGCCTTAGATGCCGATGCCGGTGACGTCATGGAAAGTGATAGAAACTGCCCAGTGAACCCTGACAGACAGAATCTTTACCCCCCCGGAAGCTACCATGCAAGTGGAAAATTACTCCTTGGAATCCTTAGAAGACACAAGGTCGGCTGAGCCGACCACCAAAGAAAAACGGATAATCGGGAGGTTGGACGGTTGTGCTTTGTGATGTTTTGTGTTTAAAACTATTCAGGATAGGGCCAGGAGATCATCAAACCCAAGGTTGCATGCCAAAACATACCGTCATATTTGCCCCCACCCACTGACAGTTGTAAACCAGTAATCCACAAGAAAGGGGACAGTGGTTCGACTGCGGGGACAAGCCGCAGCGTGCCACAGTCAAGCACGACTGAGAAACGCCCAGCTACTTACCAACCAAATTAGCATCGTCAAATGGTCCTGTTGATTTCAGGCTAGGCTATATACTTCTAGCATCTAGGACTTTACCCAAGCAACAGGAAGTCACCTCACCGCATGGCACATCGATGAAAAGATTGTGCCCGCCCACATGAAAGTCACCCCACGATGTTGAACCCCAATGGCACACCATCACCCTCACAACTGGCAACATACACTTCTTGAGCAGGTAGTGTCTGAGGACCTCATTCATTTTGAGGACCTCATTGAGGCGCGGCCACCCCGTCATTTAACTTGCTAAAGCAAGAGCAACTTCAGCTAGCTGAGGCTAGCGGCTAGCTTTCGTGGTTAATCCCGAGTACCTATTTAAAAAGCCTCCCAAATTAAAACCACGTCCGAAACTCTAAATTTGGTTTATATTTGTTCTTAAATTACCACCCTTTCAAGCCGCTACTAAACTACCAACATTGTCAAAAAATGGGGGTAGTTTCTTTTATTAGGTTCCAAAAACAACCGTAACTGTCCACATCTGTCCGCCCTGTGTATCCACCATGACACGCCTTGTTTACACCAGCAGGTTTTCCTTCCTCCAATGGCACGGACTCACGCAAACGCACTTGCCGCACAGCGACATCACCTTTCGAAAGCTTTGGTTGTTAGTCTAATGAAGAATCAGTATTCTAATGAAGGTTTTTAGGGGAAAAGGAAGACCCTTCGATCTGGAGTTTTTTTAAAAATTTTTTGATACGAGTTTAATAAGGGATGTTATTTTTGTTTCTGGATTACTTTTTGGTTTGAAGATCTTCCCAGGTGATCCAATTTTGGACCCCCCCGATTTCAGGGACTCCCTATTAAAAACCTGCGACCGAGCTTCTCTTAATAGGGGGGGCCGCGTGTTTTTTGATAGGTGGACAGGATTATGCCCTGTGCAGTCAGCTGCGCACTCTTCTTCCAAATGTCATATCTAAACTACGGAAAGGCTCTGACGGGCTGGCTCCACAAACTGGCGAGCATCACCCTTCACCAAGATCTGGCGCTTTCACTCGGATCACGAAAGCGTTCACCGACACAGGCGCTGATTCGGTTGGCTCAAACCGGTGTCCCAACCTGCCGAGGAGCCAAAAAGTCCGAAGAGAAGCAGCAAATCCCGGAACTGCCCATGGATGTCGCCAAAGACCTCCAGGGTCTTCGTTCCAAAAGAAGAGTAGCCAGCTGCAGAGTGCCAATGCCAAACTTGCTAGTAAATATGTTAATATAGATAAAACCATGAATTTGTGTATATCACATACATAAATACACACATATAGAATCATATATAATGTCCATACTGTACGCCTGTACGCATAAAACCACTGCTTGAGAAAGAAATGTGCTGTACGGAATCTGTAGATCCACGATCCATGTAAAACCTTTGGCTGGGAATCACATGGAAAGACTGGTCCGAGCAGGCTTTTTACAGGGCCCACGAGGTTCGAATGTTCCAGATCCCCCAGCTTGACCAGCCTTGGCGGGAGCCCGTACACGCACCAGCGAGGGGTAGGAGGAGAGTTGGCGCTGACATGCCTTTGCGAGGAGGCAAATCTTGTCTGCCTGAGAGTGGCAGGAGAGTTGGAGTGGAACAACGTGTAGAGTGCCAACACGACAATGACAACTGCAAAATCAGATGTTGGAATTGGTACTCTTTCCATCTGAGGATGATCTGGGGCCAAAAGCCTGCAGGGCGATCCAGAGTCCTCGAGGACTGCCTCGAGTCTTTGGGTGGGGGCCGCCCCATCTCTCCGCTTTTTGCCACGATGACGCGTGTGCTCGCGAACACGCACGTGGTCGCGCCTGATTGGACTCACCTTTGCCCAACAAGCGGTCCAGTGCCACGCCGTTCGGAGTCCAATCCCGGTCCAACATGTCGCGACCTGGACGACGGACGGCGAAGACGACGAGGGTTTGGGGTTTGGGGGTGAAAACGCGAAGCCAAGCGAGTTTCGCTTGGCCAAGAAGTGGTGAAAGTGTTCAGAAATCCATATGGCCACTCACCACCTAACAAGTGGCCTTGGGTTTGGCAAAATCACCTGTGCGAACTTGACGTGCCATGACTATATGCTTCGCCAACTGCAGAGTTTGCAGTGGGATTTTATCGGTGAGCTGAGCTACAGTGTTGCGCTGACAAGAGATGAGCATTGATGCCAAGAGGGTATGAGAAATGAAATGAAAAGGGTTCAAGGCAACATGGTGATGTGAAGAGAACACAGTAGGGCAAAAGATGCACTCAATCGATCAAAAACTGAAAGGTTGTTCCTATTATTAGCTGCTCAATGTTATTGCTTAGATTAGGTTGTAAGTGCGAGTTCCAAGGGATTTTCGCCGAGATCAAGCAAGGTCTTCCAGCTCAGTCTCAACTTAAGTCATGACCGGTGTGACCACCCTCAGCTTCTCTCAAAATGCAAGCCTAAGGAATCCAAACCATGAGACAGGCAGGGTGGGGCTCGAAACCCAAGCGCAAGGTAGAAATCCAGAGAAACGAAAGGACAAACAAGACTTTCCCCTGCAAACCCCGCACCCCTCATGCGAATTTCCAAAATATTCAGATTCACTGCTCCTGCATTAGGGGAGGTGTTGCCTGAGACCACCCTGCAAAATGCGCCCATGTCGCTTTAAGACTCCAGGTCGCTGGTAGCAACTTCCTGCGCCATCTCCATGGCAGCAATAATTGCCTGCTTGTCTGGGAAAGCCAAACACATCACTGTCGTAGACATGCAAACAAGGGCCATGCTCAACAAACGGCCGGGGTCGATCGAATTCCAATTCATTCCCAAAGGGGAATATTGATAACTTGATAACTTATGCTTAGTGCCCAATATAGTTTGTTTGTTTCAGAACTGACTCCATTCGGGACTGCCAAAGAGAAGGTTCGGGGTTCATGCATTCAACCAAGGAATTCAGCCACACAAGGGCTCCGCCAATCAGCAAGCACAAAAGCTGTGGTCAAATCCGGTCCGGCACAAAGCCAAGTTGCCCAAACCCAACAAGGGCATTACTACTAGGAGCAAGGACGCTAGGAGCTCCTGGCCTTCCGAACGTAGCGTCCGATTCGATGGATGTCCGGGCATCGCTACGAACCCGCCACGCCTGGAAGGCCACAGCGTACTCCTGACACCGTCGTGTCCGTCCGTTACAGAGTTACAGAGGTCGATGTCCCGATGGCCACAGGTCCGAAGATGTCCCGATTGGCCCAGGAATGTGGCTTCAAAAATGGTCCCTGATTCTTGAGATGGTTGATGGCCAACCTTGATTGTCCTTCTTGATGTCCCTTCTTTGATCAAAAGGTCCCTCTTGGGATCGACCAGAACGGTGAGCGAGCTGGGCCACCAACACATGGTGTGGGTAGCTGTGATGGAAGCTGGGGAAGGCCCACAGATCCAGCACGCAAGTGCTTGGAAATCAGTGAAGGAAGCAAACACAAAGAACAACAGTAGCAGGAAGAAAAAACAAACTGAAGGATGTGACACTACATGATTTCCAAGCCTGTGACCTGACGCACCAAGCGATCATCAAGCGTGTGACCTGCTCACACGACTGTCACTTGGTCAGCATGGTCGACAGCTCGACCAGTCACCCCGTCCTGGGAGGGCCTTGCGACGGCCATGGGCCCACGCCAGCCGCCCACTGCACGACACTGGGGATCCAGCTCCATGTCCTCAGGAGCCCGGGCTGTTCTGCTTGCGATCTGCTTGCTCATTGCGCTCTACATGCGTGCGCTCGGCGCTCGGCTGGAATTTGCCGGTCTTTTGCTTGTTTGATCATTGGCTTGCTCAATACAATCAGCTTCACTATATCATTACACCCAAACACAAACAACTGAGACCGCGCACACATGGCAATCCGTAGAGATCTACGAGCACTGTTCCTTTGCGGGCCTCTAACGTTTCATTAGTTTCACTACCAGCCTCACTACCCAAACTGAGTGTTTTAGAAGTATATAGAGACAAAAACACTGTCACTATAAATATCCATACAATTATATATGCATCATATGTAGTGTAGAGTATATTCGTATCGATTATCTGCAAAAATGCATACAGCATACCTTCCCCAAAACTACCACTAAACAAAGCGACTGACAAACCAAACCCAGTAGACGCAAATCATCTTCCCCTGCAATTCTGACAGCTTCCATGTTGCTTCGCCTGATGATATCCGGTGGTTCGTAGTTTCAACATCAACTTCTTCAGTACTTACAGCACTTCCAAATCAACCTCTTCAAACATGATTGACAAAAGTGACATCTAAAATACTTCTTTCTTTCCAGGTCACAGGTGTGACCTGGCCTCCTGGCCGCCTCCTGGCCTGGTTTTGGTCACCACGACTCAACGCGAAACCTACCTCATGGTGTCCACGGCAGGTTTTCTTCTTCCCAAGTGGCCGCGTTCACGGCTTCGGAGCCCCTGGAGACCGCCGAGGTGTGGTGGTCTGGACGGGTGATCTAAGAAATGGGCGAAAAGACCGGTGGTCTCATGCGCCGGTTGGGCGTGGGGTCTCATATCATTGATCAAAAAGAGGATTTAGTTGGTTGTGCAACCTAAACACATCCATGTTGGTCTGTAATCCATGGTTTGGATCATGTCGAAGCCGCGGGTTTGAGATTGACTCCTCCGCACAAGTACCACAGAATCTCCTAGAACACCCCTGCAGGAAAATCGTCTGCCCTTCCCCTTCTGGTTTAACAAAAGGATATGTCAGTACTCTTTGTTCAGTTGAATTCATGCAGCTTGTCAAAATTGGCGCATCGCCCCTCAACTGCCTGCGATGGTCTTATCATCGGGATCAGGTTTGGCTTCCAGCCATGCATGGAATGCGTGTTTTTCTCTCTTTGTTGCTTGGCTCCATAGGTGCAAGCACAACAAAAACAAAAGCAATTGCCAGCTATTCTCCCTGATTGAGGTGCAGGAAGCCAACAAAATAAGCGTCTGTGAGATGCCATGTGTTCCAAGAAATGGTGCCTGACGTCCACTTGACAGCACTAGCACCAAGGTGATGACTCTACATGTTTCTCACAGGCCATGGGACCATGGTAACGACAAGTCATGAAATGATTAAATCCAGGGCTGAATTCCCCGAAACACCAGCCAAAAGCCAAGGCTTTCGGTGGTTGCCCATGATCCCTGAAGTCACTTGCTCCTGATGTTTGACCACCTGCATGAACAAAAAAACCCTGAAAGTGGATGGCGCTCTTGACATCCAACGGAGCCTGTACCAAGCTTTTTCCTCACGACCTGAACTGCCCAAAAACAGTAACCAACTCACCTGTTGGTCCTCTAGCCTTCACTGAACCACCCAAGAACAAGTAACAAACTCACAAACTGAGGTGGGAAGGTGGTCCGTGTTGGCCAATTCTCCTCTCAAGGTCCATCTGAGTGAGTCGCCAGGTTTCTTTGGCAGACCTTCCTCCCTCCGGGCTGCCGGGCACAAAGTCACTCTCAATACCCTGCGGAGTACGGCCCAACATCGGTGCGAGCACCGATGCTAAGGCCTATCTGACCCAACATGGCAACCCAAGGGAGTTGTTGGCAAATAAGTTTCCAAATGGCTTTCAAGAGGATGTGTGTATATATAAAAAATATATACTCTATTGTCAGAAAACTTGGCTCAGGTTTTTGTATTGAGCCATTTATTGTGTAGGGAAAAACGCCTCTGGAACGAAAAAACCCAGATGCAGATGGCGCAAGCCATGTTAGGCGAAGAGCCATGACAATGAATGGGAAACTACTAGTCGGGGATGGGTTTGGCGCCATCTACTTTTACAATCCGTTTCGTGAAAGCCCGCTATAAAATGTTTGGCCCTGAAAGCAGCAAGCACGACATTAGATGGCGCAAGCCACCTTTCCAATGATGTGTTTTGAGTGCTTTCTGTGAAAGGATATTTTTTTTGTGAGAGCGGTGTTGCAAAGAAAATTGGCAAGAGGAAACCCATGAAAGCACCATAGATGGCGCAAGTGGCAACACTGTTCTTTTGGAGAGTGGCAACACTGTTCTTTTGAATTAAGCAACAGGAGATGAAAAAAAACATGTTAGATACAAGAAGGACTGGAAAGGATAGGGAAATGAGTTGCGCCATCTATAGGCGCCACCATAATTATCGTCTTTCACACAAGGGTTGCGCCATCTACTTGGCAGTATCTATTGGCTCAACCATCCTAATAATTTTTCACAAAGGTTGTGCCATCTACTGGGCTATTATCGTGCAGCGTTCTGTTACTGGTTCAAGTGCAAGTGCAAGGAAAGGGAAAGGTGAAGGGAAAGGCAAGGGAAGGATAGAGAAAGGAGAAGTGAATGAAGGAAAGGAAAGAAAAGAAAGGCATCCAAGGAGAGGGAAAGGAGACATTAAGGAAAGGATAGCAAAGGAGAAAGGAAGAGAAGGAGAGAGAGAGAGAGAGATAGAATATGAAAGAAGGAGAGAGAAAGACAGTTCAAAGAGAAGAACATAAAAAACAATTGGAATTTAACAGAGAGGTTGTCTACAAAAATCAACGCCTTATATCAGTGTTCTTTGCAGAAGATGGCGCAAGTCTACTCTGTGAATGGGTGGAATGCCATTTATTATGCTTGAGGATGCATAGGTATATATGGTTATTTTTTCACGGTTTTCCGCAGGCGGTTTTGGCACTTTCTGGTGCCATCTACTCGTTTCCGGATATAGCCATCTATTCTGAAAGTGGTGTATACTATGTAATAAATAATATATTAATATATAATATATAATCATATATAATATATTATTAATAAACATCATAGAACAAAAGGGGAAAGAGGCCAGCCTGGCACTTCTGAGTGATTACTGTGGTAGTATGTGTGGAGATTTCTGACGTGGGGCTGCAAAATGAATCCGTGCAATTCATAATTTCTTATAT